ACGCAAAGCAGCGCCCCGGAGATTCCCCAGTGGAATTTGACGCGGAAGGTGTGGGCTTTTTCCATGCTGGATCGACTTGGCGACGCACATGAGTTCAAAGAAGCCCGTGTGCCTCTTCTTGGCGGTGGGCGGGCCATTCGCCACCATAGCCGGCGGGGCGAGCGGGGTTCGCAGCGCGCGGCAAACACTGCCTCAGTCTGACCCCAGCCCGTCCTCTCTTCCAGTTCCCGCTGGGAGCATCTCGCTCTCCAGCGAGCCGCCGCGATTTTGCAGAAGCGCGCGCCTCCCGCAGTAGAAGGTAGTGCAGGACCAGCAGGGTCTCGCACCACTATCTGGCGTTATCCACGGCGGGAGGTTCCGGCGTCCAAAACGGTGGGGACGCTGGGCCGCCGTATGGGGTGGCGTGTGTTTCACCGCGTGTCGGGCCGCTGCCGTGAACAGGCGGGCTCAACTGCGGATGTTGGCGAAGGAACGCCCAGTCTGCTGGGTGCTAGAAAGTTGGCTACCAATTGTTCAACCGCCGCTCCTGCTTTTGCTGTGGGAAAACCGGATCTTCGTGTGACGATCTGAGCGCGCTTAGCATCTTTGATGCGTTGGCGGGCTGCGCGAAGTGCCGTTCTGCGAGTTGCAATGTTGCCTCTGGCAAGGTGCCGGCTCACGGCCCAGTCTGCCTCCGTCTGGTTGCGCATCTGCTCGCGCCAAACCGGGGCGCAGAAAGAATTTGGGCTAAAACGTTCGCACCTGCTTGGAGCAAAACGGGTCCCAAAAAGCGCGCGAAACCCTATTAGTTCCTCCTGCAAAAGCCTCATCCGCCTGGGCCCGTCACCATTTCATTGCTCAACCCGCTGTGCGGGGCCTGGGCGCAATTCGACACTCCGCGAAGCTGCAGAAGCCGTCCCCAGCGCATCCTCAGCAGAAGAAATGTCGCCACGCGTCGGCAGGCGCAGCCATGAGAAAGAATCCGCTCCCCCCGCCACTCCCCCATGAAAACACCCCAATAAACGCCCGCCCGGTGCCACCACTAACGAGCAAGAAGTCAAAGAGACCACTTGGTGGCACTTAATTTCATACTTTGAGGGGTAGTGCCCCTTGCGTCGTATTGCCGCTGGCGGGGTTCGAAGGGGCTGGGCGGGGGGGACGGTAAGCGAGGTGCTTATGAATTTGTTTTTTATTATTTTTGATTTCTACTGGGGCTTCCCACACTGCGGGCTCTCCGTGCGGTTGCGTGTGTGTGTTTCTTTGGGCTGCGCACAATAATCGCTGCTATCGCCGGCTTTTTTGCGACTGGCGTTTCTTGTGGGCAGCGGCGAGTGTGTGATCGTATGGCCCACGCGTTTATCGGCGCGGCCTTCGCCATGGATTATCACTGTTCTTTGCGCGGCGCGC